CTCGACTTGCACTAAATGCAAGAGCGCCCCCACACCACTTACAATGAGCGGCCAAGTGACCCCTTAAGCAAGCAATGATACTGCTACTCAGTGCTCCCTTAGCCAGTTGTTAAAGCAGTGCCCCATCTCTCCTACATAACATTTGCCGCTGGACAAAGGATACTGTTCACAACGCCTTGAACACAGAAAATGAACCTGGTAGCGTGTTTTATTAGCATCCTTGCCTTCTTTTCTCATTCACAACTGTGCACAGTTGCAACAGCTTATCTGGCGCTGCGCAGAGCACAACAACACATTTCTTGATTGATATGTGGGGTTTAAAGTCCCAAAACCACCATATGATTATGAGAGACGCCGTAGTGGAGGGCTTCAGCAATTTCGACCACCTGGGGTTCTTTAACGTGCCAAATCTGAGCACACAGGCCTACAACATTTACGCCTCCATCGGAAATGCAGCTGTCGCAGCCGGGAATCGATCCCGCAACCTGCGCGCTAGCAGCCGAGTACCTTAGCCACTAGACCACCGCGGCGGGGCAACAACACATTTCTTGGCTACTTTTTTCAAGCAATGCATAAAAGGTGATGATTGTAGGGCACTCCTACTCGCCGAGTACCAAAGCAGCTTTGATCTTTTGTGGAAAAAGTGCACCATTTCTTTTTAAGAAAGCTTTCCGTGACAGATGCCACCAGTTCATGAGGAAACCCTGCATCTGCATTGCGAACACCTGTGCTTGCAAGCTTCAAGTGACCCTGTGCCAGCAAGACTTCTGTAGGGATCCGTGCAAACAGTTGATCACTATCTCACGTTTGACCAACTCCAAATGTGCCGAGCTGTAACCTGAAAGCTGCTTTTTATAGCGACACTGATATGCCTAGCAAACCTGGTTATCAGTAAAACGCATGTGCATGACTAAATATTGAATATGTACATCCATTCAATGGCAACTCACGGTTGAAGTTCGGCCCCTTTGAGCAGCTTTTAAAAACATCTAAAACTCCGTCGACCAGTCTGCCACAGTTCAAAAGATCATCCACTTCTACAAAAACTAAAAAGCCATCTACATAGCTAACACATTTAACAATGAGGTAATTACCGCACACTGCAACGCACCAGTGACAGCAAGCTAAAAATATCTCGCAAAGCATGGAGGCAGCACAGGAGCAAATACATACTCAGTTCCTCTGCACCTAAGACTAGTTCTTAAACGAAGCAAATGTAGAGTCAAGGTAAAATACTAAAAGGCCTAAAAAATTTACCAACGACATCCCCGCATGCATTCAGAATGAAATATCGCCCGCTACTTCAAACAACCTCACGGTGACAGTTAGTTCCTTTTTAGAAACATATAACGCAAAGCTTCAATGACTAAAAAATCAAAGTTAGCTGCAGTCCTGTGCAAATTCCTAAAAAGTCAGTTACTTCGTTCAAATTGCAGATGCAAAACGAATCTTTCACGACCAAATTGTCCAAGTGTGTCTGAATAAACCTAGACACATAACACCCTGCCACATGCACTTTTCAGACGACTGCTCTAAAAGGATGCCCTTGCTTGTGTGTTTCAACGGAAAAAGATACCTTCAGCTCATCTTTGTCAGTCCCTAAAATGTTCTTGTGCAAATGAAGCAACTTTATTTGCAGGAATCTATGGCTTCTTTTTTTTACGACGGTCTTCCTATGTGCAAGCAGAAGAAAACTTTTCGTCAATGGCCAGAAAAGCTTTTTCCTCGTACAGAGCAACAGGCATGACTATAAATCCTCCCTCTTTATGAGCTTCCAACAATGCTTGTTCTTCTAGAAGCTTGTTCGGCAATCTTATGCTTGCATCATGTCCACCAGCGCTGGCCAGGGTGTACACCAGTGTTGCCAGTGTACACTTCTCCAGTCGGGGCTCACGGCGTTCTCTCTGGTAATTCCAACAATGCTCACTAGATGGCATATAGCCACCCAAGGCACCGGTTTCTGATGGCCCGCGCGCTTACCTCCTCACGACTACGTCCACTTCGTTCTCGTCGCTTCATACTCGCGGCAGCACGTGACAAGTTCCTACGATGAGTGTTACGCACAGATATTGATATCCTGCCAAGCCCTCTCACCTGCTTGCGCTGAACCGCATTGAAAAACGCCTGATAGCTCCGTGCCTGCCATTCATGAACGTTAGGCATCTGACTCATGGCAGTAGCCAGTATGGCATAAAGGGGCAGGTGGTTAACGTGCCAATCGACGTGGCCAAAACTGTGCAGTGCCCACTACGGAAAGTGCCCGACAACACTGACTTCGATGTATACATCATGCGCTGGCTCGTCAACAAACCTTCCCACAGAATCGGTCTCACCAAGAAACGCCTCGTGCACCTCCGAGCAAGCTCCCCTAACATCATTCACTTTGTGGATATGGTGGTGATTTTTTCATGCAAGAGGTCAACAGCTTTCTTGACGCTCACTGGCTTACTTATGTAACCAGCTTTTCCAGACAGCAGGAAATTAACAGGTATCGAAATACATCTGACTTTCTCTTTGCACTGTACTTGCTGAGCTACTCTCCTAACCAAAGAAACTAGAACTACTATATTTTCATTAGGCTCCACGCTGTACTTAGGACTACAATTCAAAACATCATAAATGAAGTCAAGCAGTTCAAACTGTACAAGCAATGTGACCTGCTATGGCTTTACACTACTAGTCATCTTGCTCTTTTTTAAGCACACCACAACACAGGCAGACAGTTCTGACATCAAACCTCACTAATATTTACAGAGTCCCCCATTCAAGCACGAAGCAAGGCCTCATTGGAGAAAATAAGACATGACAAAGTCAAGATGTTATGACATGGTGGATCGGGATGGCAGTGTTCTGGCCCACCGTATCATCACATGCCAAGATCTTGTCATATCCACGAATGCAACAGTTCAAACAGTATTTGAAGAAATTTTTGGAGCACGAGAACCTTAATTTGGAGCAGTTTCACAAATCTATCTTAGTCTTGGAATAGAAAGCAAAAAAATGTGCACACCATTTACCTTAAGTGCAATCACGTTTTAGCTTCAGTGGGCAAAGTCTTAGAAAAAAGATCATTGAATACTGTTTAAACCCACACGACGTGTAGAACTTATACCAACCTGCAAATCAGGTTTATGTATGTTCTCAGTGTAGTTACAGGATCAAGCAAAAAAACAAAGCAAAAGGAATGAAATAACAACTGCAACTAATATCTTTGCGTGAATCACGAAGTACTCTTAACAGTGAGTAGTGATTGACTAGTCTTATTAAGTCCAAACTTAATAGCATACCAAACAGCTCTTCCACGTAAGTAGGATTTGGCTACATTAGGCCCAAACACTCAGATAAAACTGTTCTTGCATATGACTAGAAGACAACTAGCTAGTTCCGTTACCCAAGAAATGGACATTTTGTGCTGCCACATAGCACTTGGTGGTCCTACCCAAAGAGGTGGCAGCAAACATGTTTAGGTTTATGCCGATTAAATGCTTAGGGTGCATTTACAGCAATACTGACAGTGCTATCCACACGCATTGCTAACCAGATAGCTGGAGATGCTTATTGTGATAGGGTTGTTGGCTATAAGTCACATTAGTGCACTGGTTGGTGCCCACGATTATGCCTTCATGCTTTTTCCATGCTTATCAGTAAAGATGTCACCGTACTCAGAAGAAAGTCGAAATCATTAACCGACCAATCTGCATTTCCTTAAGAGGCAGAAAGCCTTTTGCAGCCTATTGGAGCGTTGGCCTGATATTGAGCTGAGAGAACGAATAAACCTTATTAAAGGTTGTAGGAAAAAACCAGTATAGCTTGAGCAGCCAGTAAAAATGCTCACCTGATCTATATTTTACTTTTTAATACACGTAAAAAGGGTACACGTTAAAATTCTACTGTATGTATGACAAATTATGCCCTAGAGCTTTGGTACTTCTACCAATGCAATATGTCGAACAGGGCTCTGCTAAACAGTGCTGACAATGACAACGTCCCCTATTAACATTTGCAGTGCCAGTCAAATGGTCAATAATTTCCAATGAACACACCAGCAGCAGACTTTCAATGCTTTTTACAGGAAGCTTCCAATTTAAATTGACACAAAATTTTACTCATACCGAATGTCCATGTACAAGAACATTGCAACCAGCCGTGAAATGCCATAACTTTCTGGGCACGGAACATCAAGAACCTTTTTGCCTTGCCTGTGGTACAGTGGCAACATATGGTTACGTGAACATGGTGGTGAGATAAGGTTATGTAACCCACATCCATTCCAATGAATTGTACAGGATGATAAATGTCTAAACTTCAGGTTGCCAATGTGGCCTCTATTTTACACTGAAATTAGTGAAATTGAGAAATCTTGCAGTTGGTCTGGCTGTTTAGCACAGCTTGGCCCAAAATTATGAAACTGTGCCAGAATGGCACAAATTATGGAGGTTTGCCCTCTTGCAATGTCTTATATTTCATTTCCACCCCCTCACAACCCACAATCATTATATGTATAAGTGTGTTCTCTAAAAGTACTAAACGAAATGGTAGTTAGCACCAAATAAACTTATTTGTCTTTCTTTTATGTCTGCTTCAGTGCTTCCACAAGTCTAAGTGTATTTCTAAGCTTAATAAAAACATGAACAGCCACCAATTAGGCCTGTTTATTGCTTTGATAAAGAATATTTGGCACTGTAACACTAAGGTCAGCACACAATGGTATAGTGACACTCCGTAATGATGGAACAAGCGTGAAAGCTGAGCTAATTCTGATCCCCACAGTGTATGAATTCAGTGTTTGTTCTGGCTTTCTGCTAGTGTACAGCTAGACTTTGTCTGCACTTTGCCAAACTATAGGCACTCGCTCTCATGCTATGAACCAAATAGCTCCAATGAATACCATTTTGATGTTACCAGAAAAAGAAAAAAAAAAAGACTACCCCCATAGTATGAAAATTTATAAGCCGAACTTTCTGCCATTTTTCTGTTACATTGCTGCTACTTACACATACCAAAGGTTTCTTTTTCCTTGAAAAAACGAAAAGCACTTCTCAACTGCTCCGCTCCAAGGCCCATCTTTTGTGCCATTTCTGTCCATCTGGGCCCAACCGTGTCATACATGCGTAGCACCTGTTTTTTCTGTTCTGGAGTGAGCCTGTAACAAAAGTATCACAGAAGACAGAGGTGCTGAATGCCTTTCTTTTTTCAGTGAATACAATGATTGTACAAAGTAGAGAAGAATCTCAATATTCACTATGATAAACATACTCTTGTAGTCAAAAGCAGTACCAATTATGTAGGCATTTTATAATTAACAAACATATATAGGCTTTCTATACTTGTTAACACAGTAAAAACAGCAAGTTGACTTCCACTCACAATGAAAGTAAGAGTGAAAAAAAAATGTTAAGACAAGATAGTAGATAGGACAGACACTGCATATTTATGTTTATTGACACCAGTCACTTTTCAATATTCCACTTTTTAAACATGAATTGCTCACTATCATGGGTGACCAGATGAGACACTATTCTGGCCATAATTTACAAAAATTAGTGGGGGGATGAAAAGCGACACAAGTGTCAAAATGACTAGCTTTAGCGTTGCTCTAAAAATCACAAATAACAACAATGTTCTTGACGTCATGTAAAAGTATTTATCTTAAAAGACCTGCAAGAGCCAAATTTTTGCTTATGACTTTTTTAATATAATTTGTCGCTTTGCGTCTGGTTATGCCGGAACCCAATAACTGCTCTAACGTATCATATAATTAATGCTAGCATCGCTAAATGTGACGAATATATCGTCACTTCGAAACGCCTGCCTGAAGTTGTAAGAAACTGGAACCTCACAACAGGAGAGCACCTAGGACAATGTGCGATCAAGCTTCAGTGATGTTAGGAGTGCAATTTTAAAATCAAGGCCCCGCACACGGTATAGAATGAAACTATGTGGGTGCTTAGATAAGAGTTAATCCCATTAGGAGTGCATTTATTTAAAAAATAAAGAAAAGCATCCCCAGCACAAGCAGCCACAACCACCTGCAGAGCAGCCTGTCAACAACAGAGCAAGAGGGGCAAGGAGCAACAGCCCGATAGTCAATGCCAGTAATGATATTGTGTGTGCCCCGTGTATGTTCTGCGACGTCGACAATACTTGCTCTTCTTGTAGAAGGTCACAAGGGACCTCTGCCTACGTCATACTAGTGGCGATGACACTCGGATGATCATTCATGCATATTTCAAAACCGAACTAAAATATTTTGATCGTTACTAATAATTGGTGAGAAGTACCCACTTAATACAGGACACTGAAACAACCCAAACAAGTCGAGGTTTAAATGTTTGTGTCAGGGACTTTTTAAAAGGGTACTAACACCATTTTTTTTGCCATATAAATCTTTTGTATTGTAAGACAGCTCTGAGCAAGTGTGAAGCTCAGCAAATGCTGATATTTTATTTTGATAGTAAAGTCCACTTCCACATGCCGCACCTACCGACATCAATATTAGTTTGACTCCCAGAAGTGCGTTTCATTAGGCTAGTTGGTCAAACATAGTAAAAGGTTAAAAAAAAAAATGGTGCGAACTAGAGGATACGAATGAAGAAATTAGAGACAGGATAAGCAATGACTAAGAGCTGGCTGTTTTAATGCTTTCCTTAGATACATTCTTTTTCCCATAGAAAAATTTAGTTGGCATCCATATTGGCATCTTCAATCCTCCTAACAACATAGGTTTTCTTCCAATAATTTATGCTCGGCAAAACAGTTCAATAATGAGATAAATAATAAAAAAATATGTATTGATGCAATGGCTATCTCAAAATATTAGAATGTCAGTTAGCTGGGTCAGAGAGCAATTACAGCAATTGACCTATTACGAGTAGAAGAGGGCTTGAGCCTTCTGCGAAAGTGCAGCCTTGTAGCAATAAAATGGGAGTTTTAAGCAGTGTAAGTCTGTTTCGGAGCATACTTCGGCTCACTTAAAAGAAGTTACCGTGATGGAGTGACAACTAACAAACAGCAGCAATGAAGCACAACTGCAAAAACATAATCCAATAATGAAACACTACAGCATTTTTTCACTCATAACCCGTCACTGAATACAACACTTTCAGCTGTGCCAAGAAAAAAAAAAAGTATCCTAGCATAATACCTGTATCTCTGACCATGTAATGCCGGTTTTCTATCATTAAAAAAAGGTGCACAAATATGTCGCATTTGTCCAGAAAGCGAACATTACCAGTGCTTTTCTAACCCCCCACCCCCCTTTTTTTTTCAACTGTTTGTAAATAGTGTGCTTACTGTGGAGGGGGAGAGAGCCACAAAGAAAGAACATTGCTGCACAGTAAGACACATCTAGAGAGCTGATTAAGTTGTCAGAAGGCAGAAGTTTCCCTGCCACTACAGCCACGGCTGCACGTTATCCTCTATGAATGCCAAGCACAATCCCAATAAAATGCAATGGCATGGTGTCTACTTCAGTTAGAGCTAGACTACTTTAGCTATTTTATTATACTAAACCAGAAACACTGCACTGATGGCTGGTGACTACACATACATCAAAGAATATTCTGCCTTGAGGTGAAACCACATTTCCCTGCACAGCATGGCGGAAAGCGATATGGGTCTTTGCTGCCATATCCTGCTCGCTAGCCTTTTTCAGGCTGCTCCCATAAAACTGCGCCACCACAGAAGATAGTTCAATGTTTATATTTAAGCATTTCAAGGGAGTTTGCTAGAGTACACCATGTCTCGAATGACAGCTGAACAAATGCGTCTCTCCTGCTCCCAGTATGAAATGACCAGCAATGATCATATTACTATCATCTCATGCTTGGCAGTGCATGGGGGCCCAATGTGTTTTATAACTGTATAGCACAATAAAAGCAGATTGGCACAGCATAGCACATATAGAGCAGCATTTGCACCACTAGCTAAACAAACAATAAAATGAAAACACACTTACACTGCCTTTGAAGGACTGCCTAGGGGATTCAACAAAATACGAGCCCGCATATAGGCAGAATGAATTGTCCTTCGAGGCAATCCTCTACCTGTAAGGCATAAGTTGATTTAATGAAGGTGGCACTCCTCTATCATAAAAAAATCAGTAAATCATGCTATTCACCATAATCATATGCACTTATACAGGTTAATTAGGCAGTTCACATTATTTTCTGCTTTTTGCCTCTCAGTTCTGTCATCATAATGTAAATTAAAGCTGACAAAAAAAACCTTGACCAATTATTTAAGCATACTAAAAGAACTCTGGTTGAGATATGCAAATTCAATGTGCTTTCTGAGCTTACAAAGTCTTATTTTTCCATGACATATCAGATGTTTATGAGCTGCTGTATTGACGACTTATTTTATTAAGACAAATTACAACATGATGCTTTATTGTCTAATTCTTCAGTATATTCAACTTTCACACAGGCTTCAACACGACATGAAGCGGGACCCAAGATAGCACCTGATGTGCATACGCTTGGGTTAACATGCATAAACCCCAACATGTAAATTTTTAAAATCCCTTTCTGATACACATTTATTTGGCAAGGGGAAATTACTGACACATACATAAATTGAATATATCACCTAATATCCGCAGCAACTTCTTTTTTTTAACCAGATCCTTTACTTGCTTCTGTAAAGCCGGGTCATGATCACCAGAGTGTCCCACAATCATATAAGGATAGCGTATGTTGTAATACTGGAAAGCAATGATAAGAAAAAAATTAGAATGCATATATATGCCTTAAATATTTTACCCAATCGTAATGTGGCAGGTGTCAGATAAAATGCATTTGAACAGAAACAGTTGATAGACAATTACTAATATGCCATGCTATGAAAGTCGATAACTTACCTCTGCTATGCCGTAAATATTCCTGAGAAGAATACGGTCCTCCTTAGCAGTGTACTTTCCATTATCGATAGTAAGTCCTGGAATACAATTAGTATGACATAGTTATCACAACATATAAAAAGATATGAATGATTTCTTGTGACATCAGAATTTATGAGGCAATCAACACGAGTTTAGTTTTAAAGCACATACATGCCTACACTCCAGAGCAATAAAAGTTGTTGTGTGAAGACACTTGACTTTGTCTTGTCCATCACTGTTTTCCCCCAGACAGCGAAAATTCTCCCTGAAATCTAGTTTTCCCACATAGCACATGCCGTTGCAGTATATGTGCCCTACCTATGCAGTACATGGGCAATGGTGCAAGCATGCCTGTGTTCGCGCTATATGCGGCATTTTTCTTTTCCAAAAGAGCCAAATCAAGAATCCCTGTTTAAGAGACAGTGGACAAAAAAAAAAAAAAAGAGAGAAGTCAACACACCACAAATGCCCATAAAGTTTCCTATAAATGCACTGGAGGGAATTCTGGCGCTGGTGTCTGTGGCAGCTGCAACGCATGGCGCTTCAGCGAGCACAAAAATTATGGGCAGTACATAAATTTGTCTAATCTTCGTACTTCGGCTCCGTTTGGCTTTGCGTGGCTTGTAGCTGCTTTGATAAGAGACCACAATCAGCAAAGGTTTAGCAGTTATGCTTCACTACCTTGCCCTTTTGAGCTCACCAATTCAAATCAGATCCCAAAGTTCAAAATTGTTTGTTCTTTTATTTGTGTGATGTGAATGTGCACGTTTGAAATGTGGACGCCTTCAGCCTGAACCAAAAAGGACGACGAAAATGACCAGGACACAGAACTTCTCGTCACCTGGTGTGGGCCAGGCTTGTTCTGGTTTTCTGGCGTTGGCCAAGAAACCTCTCCGGCTTCGTGTATGAGCTGCAGCTGCCGAACACCGAAAGGTCACTGCCCTCAACTAGCCCGACGTCTCCTTCCATACCAGTCAGGGATGTGAGCGTCTCAACTGCATCACCGCCGTCACCGTTTGCATGAGTGCGTCTATACCTCGGTAGCAGAGCATCCGTTGCAAGCACTGCATCCTGCTATGTGGGGATATATGTTCTTTTCCACTGAACATTTATGTCCTCACACTGTTCCTGTCTTTAGCCATTTGTTCTTCCTACAAACCTCTTTCAAGTTTTGCATGCTCTGTTCTTTGTCTGTTACTTAATATCTTTTGGCAGTTTTGTAAATATACTGAGTGTTGGGGATTTGTTGGGAACAAATGTTCTCGTTGGCTCATTTCTCGATGACGGTCATGTCAGCGGTTTTTTGTTTACACAAACCTACACGAGAGCTTACCCATTAAATAGCCTCATGTCAATTCAAAACAACACTGCAATAAACAAAGCCACAAGTGCAATCGAAGCCCACATACAGGAAGACTATGCAAATCCATGTATTGCAAATCATTCTTATGGTTGCTGACCAATCGCAGCGCCAGAGTCCTCTCTAGTTAAATTTAGGAAACTCTATGCAAACACCGGCTACTAACAACTGCACAGTTGCACAACAAGGGAAAAAAAGATAGTATGAAAGCTTATCTGTGCATGCCCATACAATAGGCGTACCTAAAAATCTAGCACGTGAGATAGGGGGAGGGTCTACGTGAGACAACTATTTATACATTTGATTTCGTCTTTATGCAGGTTAATCGAAGGTTGAATCACACGTGCTACCACTATTACCGATATGCCACGCTAAAACCCTCAAACATGTTTCTTGATTCCTGTGTGTAGAAAATGGTGCATTCATCAAAATTTGGTGTGCACTAAAACTGTCGACAATGTGAAGTCAGATTAGGTAGTAAGCCTCCGTTTAGCGATCTCTTATGTTTTATTGATCTTTGGTTAACACAGCAACCAGTCTGCCCTGCATAGAAGTGGCTGCAGCTAAATAGAACCTTAAACAACAAACCTGTATGGCAATCAGTAAAATTGTTGGCGTGTTTCACGATACAAATGTCAATCCACTTATTGTCTATGACCCGCTCATTCTTTGACATACAGAGGCCAACTTGCCATACAGAGAACGTCAGAAAGCAGAACAGTAGGTTGCTATGATTACTATTGATGGAAATGAGCATTTCGAATTCTGTTTACTCTGTATAATACACGGAAACCAACGGGGGTGCATGGCATTTGTGCTCGATTTGAAGCCAATTTAGTTTGTACCCTTTTTATTTTCTTGAAGGAGGCAGTGCTGGACTGAATTTCGCCTTCAATGTTCAACTTTATTGTTAACCAAGACTTCTATCTACCTTATTAGTTTTTTGTATGGTTAAAATAACTCCAAAAGGGCAAGTTCAATTTATGTTTGTTCATGCCACGTTGCACTACTACAATATCTAATCAAGTATGCCCTCACAGAATTGATATTAAGACAATTGATGAGTGGCCACATAGCTATGGGCACTGTAGCGAGAGAAACGAGACGCGAGTAGGCAGCCGACACGGCCGTGCCAATCTCCCCACTGTATTTCTATAGCTGAAGCAGAGCAACAGCGGCTGCAGTATCCGAACCGCCAGTAGTGTGAGCCTGTCCTGTCCATATCACCATTTGCTCCTTGTTACACTCGCCTTCAGAAAATGTACAAATGATAGGTAGGATCTCTGCAGATGGAGCGACCACTCATTTGACTCAACGTAGAGGCTTTCTATGGGGCTAGTACTGAAGGCGCTCGTGGCTAGGCAGATGCCTAGATTGTGCACAGGATCAAGTATCTTCAACGCGCTTGGAGTTGCAGACTGATAGGTTATTGCCGCATAGTTTAACTGAGTGCTTATGAGCCTCTTATACAGATCTATCAGGCACTTCTTGTCACTACCCCACGTAGTGGGTGAGAAAACTTTCAAAAGATTAATTGTTTTCACACATTTATTTTTTAAATACTTAATGTGTGGTATGAACCTTAGTTTACGATCCAGGATTATGCCTAAGAATTTGTGCTCCGTATTCATGGAGAGATATTGATCATTAAGGTCAATATCTGGTTCGGGATGGAGGCCTCGTTTTCGGGAGAACAGAACACAGGTGCTTTTTTGAGCATTAAAACTAAACCCATTCTCGTCTGCCCACTTCGCGACCTTGTTCAGATCTAGCTTAACTTGCCGCTTATACACTGAAAGGCTGCACTATTTGAAACCGATTTGCACGTCATTGACATATGTGCAGTAAAATATATTTCCTGGGATGTAATGACACAAGGAATTCATTTTGATAATAAAAAGTGTACAACTAAGTACACTACTTTGAGGCATTCCCTTTCTCAAATAAATGTTTGGGACAAAACATTGCCTACTCGAACTCGAAATGTCCAGTTGAACAGGTAACTTTCGATTATGATTAACATTCTACTATGCACGCCAAGGTCGTATAAGTCTCTCAATATTATAAAGCACCATGTAGTGTCGTAACCCTTCTCCATATCGAAGAACACAGAAAGAAAGTATTGATGGTGTACGAAAGCGTCTCGGATCAGTGCCCGAAAGGCATCAGGTGGTCCGTGATGGATCGGTCTTCTCGAAAGCCACACTGGTTTTGGTCAAGCAGATTGTTTGTTTCAAAGAAGTATATAAGTCTACGATTTATCATCTTTTCAAAAAGTTTGCATAGGTAGCTTGTTTGTGCAATGGGCCTGTAGCTCGCGACTGAGGATGCATCCTTGCTTGGTTTCAATATGGGGATGACAATAGCCTCATTGGCATATCGCCGGAAAACCACATAGCATCGTACAGTGAAAGTAGGGTCTTTTGTGGTAGGTTTTTCAGCATTTCATATACTACACCGTCTGAACCTGGGGTGGATTTATTGCAACAGTTTAAAGATGCTTGTACTTCATGTAAACAAAAGGTTTGTTCTATGCCTTTTATCTTGTACATTTTTGCTCTAGTTTCTGTTTTTCTATTCTTGTTTTGTAGCGCTGAAAGGCCTCAGAATAATGCAATGAACTCGACACCTCTTGGAAATATTCGACAGAGTGTTCGCCTGGTCTTCCAAGCTGTCGCCCTGTGTGTTCACCAAAGAGAGTGAATATGCCTGTCTTCCTGTTACCCTACTGACCTTTTTCTACATTTTAGCTTCATGAGTATATGAAGTGATGCCTGATAGAAACCTCTGCCAACTTTCCCGTCTTGGCTGTTGCCACGTCCTCCTGCCTTGAGACTTTAGGTTCTTAAAGTTAGTGAGGTTTTCTGCTGTTGGAGAGTCCCGCAGCAACCTCCGGGCTTTGTTTTGTTTCTTAAGCACATTTCGACAGTAGTTATTCCACCAGGGAACACGTCGTTTTCAAGACTGTCCATTTGTTTGTGGGACGCATTTTGTTGCAGTGTCGAACCGAAAAGCTGTTAAGTAGTAGACAGCAGCTTCTATGCTTAAGGTACACAGGTCAGTCCAACTTAAAAAAGTGAGGTTTCAAAACTGTTCCCAATCGGCTACATCCGTATGCCATTCGGGAACGTGTGAAGGACATAGATTTGCTATTGGTGGGCTTAGAATTATTGGGAAGTGGTCACTTTCATATGGATTACCAATAACTTCCCAGTTAAGGCGGGGATGAAGAGACTGAGACGCAATGCTGAGATATATGGAAGAGAATGTTCTATTTGCGAGGTTATAATATGTTGGAACTTTTTGATTCAAAAGACACTTGAAGGAAGAAACAAGGAATTGTTCAATCAGACAAGCTCGCACATCGCAACAACAGTCACTCTAGAGACTGCTATGTGCATTGAAGTCCCCAAAGGCTAGATAAGGTTTTGGTAGCTGTTCTATTAAGAACTCAAATTCATATTTTTGTAGACTGTGGTGCGGGGGTATGTAGACAGAGCAGATTGCGATCAGTTTATTCGAGATAACGGCTCGAACAGCCACCGCCTCGAGGGAGGTTTGAAGGGGTAATTGCATACATACTATTCCTAGGCTAACTATAATAGCTACACCACTGGATGACGTCATGGCATCATCTCAGGACTTTCGGAAGATTACATAGTTACGTAGGAAGTTTGTGTGTGTTCGTTTTAAGTATGCCTCTTGTACACACAGCACTCTTGGATTATGTTTGTGGAGGAAATCTTGTAGGTCATCGATGTTTCGAAGAAGGCCTCGGATGTTCTACAAAAATATTTCTGTCTACATATTAAGAAAAGAAGCTGCTGTGTGTACAGAGGGTGTCGTGTGTTGAAGTGAACTTTTTGATTCAAGTGGTAGGACGGTCGTCTGGCCCCATTAAAGCTTTTTATTTCTCTTGGCGCTCCACGCCACTCTTTCGGCACCAAGAATACCATCTATTCAATTGCCTCCTCAGAGGCACTAGATGCCCGCACGTGCGAGCTGGTGATTCGAATTTTAAACCTCGCCTTGTGAGGTGAGGCCTTGAGAGCAGAGGTCCCTGGAGTCTTCAGCCTCGCTTTGCTAGGAGGCGGGGTAGACTGAACTACTGCCGCCTTGGGGGCAGGCGCCACAGCCGACGGCTCGCTCTGCGCTGGCCGAAGGAGTGGCGAGGGGGCTGGTGCGGTGGTGCTTCCTGACGCACTGCATCAGCATATGTAGGCCCATGGAATGATGATACTCTTTTTCGTGCTTCCTTGAATGAAATGTTCTCCTTCACATTAAACGCAATTATCTCTTTTCCTTTCTTCCGGTATGAGCGAGAGCATGAATATGCGGCATGGTTTTCTACACAGATTACGCACTGTGGCGAATCTTTTAAAGCCTCAGATATGTGGCCCAAGAGCCTATTTTGTGCACAAGTTTGGCAACCACGACAACTTTACGAGCCGTGGCATAGCCTGAGAGAAGTCTTCGTGTGCCCGGTTTGAATAGTTTCCAGCAGATGACTGTAAGCAAAGGTCAGTATTAGGTGTTTTGTTGGCATTTCCTTGTTGTCTCTCCTGATTTTTTATCTTCTGAACGTTGGTCACATTTTGGCTCTTCCACCCTTCCAGGAGTTTAGCTTCGGTCAGGCCTAGCAAATCAGCGACAGATGCCACTCCATGAGCTGAGTTCATTGATCTGTGTGGTGTTACAGTGATTGGAGTGTCAGCAAACGTTGAAAGACCGTCTAGGTTCTCAAACTGTTCTTTCTCTCGAACTTCAAGGAGGAGGTCTCCACTGGCCATTCTGGTAACTTTGTACCCTGCCCCAAGAGTTTTTGTACACCTGGCTACTACAAAAGGGGATATGGTTCTGGCTTGCTTGTCACTTTTCTCACTATATATGACATAGAAATAAGGGAAGTTATCATTTGGTCGGCTGAAAAAATTAGTCTTCGGTGCGTACACGCTTAAGACAGTACAATCACTTAGCAGGGGGAAAGCTCTATGATTGCCAGTTTTAATTTTCTTCAGAAGCCTTGGCAGCCCCCCATTGGGAGCCCAATGAGGGGATGCTACAAGTTTGCGAATGCAGAAACCTACAGACGCCAGCCGTACAACGCTACTATAACCCAATGCACCTAGACCAACGTAGGCTATTTGCACAGGGTTAACCCTAGCTGCCAGGAAGTTTGGTAGTAAACGGAAGAGTAGAAAACAGAAAAGATAAAAAGTTAGAGATAAAGACGAAGATGTAGGGAGAGAGAGAGATAGGAAAAGGTGACTGCTGATTTCCTCTGGGTGGGTCAGCTCAGGGGTGCCGTCTTTGTGAAGCCAACGACAAAGGGGTGTGTTGCCTCCGACAGGGGACCTTAAAGGTCCAATCACCCGGCATCGGCTCAACCCCCAGGATCCCCTTTTCCCCGGACATGGCTCCGCCACGCACGACTAAGCGTGAAAGAGAGTCAAAACCCCGTTAGCTAGGGCTCGTGGTGTCGCTACGCACCAAACGTTTGCTTTCGCAGATGCCCCTGTGGGACGCACAACCCTAGTAAATAGGACTTGAAGTTTGTTTATACTGATTTGTTAATAGGGTGTCTAGTCAAGCCTGCTTATCCAGCTTTGTTAATGTTATGGACACTTGACGAATGGCCACACATTTATGGGTGGCCAAGCCTTGCAAGATTATTGTTCACGTACTCCTGTGTCACACACTGCTAGGATGTTTCCAAAAGGCCAAGTTTGTTTACACTATTCAGTGACGCTACTGCATGCTGTATTTTATTCTTCCCGATATTGCTGTGAGACCAGCAAGAATTGGTGTCATTACTCTGTTTTTTTATTCTGTTTACCTTTTGGCGATGCAATGTGTCAATGTGGGTTTGTTCATGGCAAAAATTCAGGGTCTTCAATTCATCAACACAGCTAGTCGCAATCGGCCCCGCATCAAAGATTTTGATCATCTTTGATGAATGAATATGTTTGTGCTATATCGCTGTTCTTGACATGTGCAGTATCCAAGGGTTCGAACCAGACATCAAAACTTTTTTAAATATATCTAATGGAATGCGCTATTGCTTGAGATAACCACGTCATATCACAACAAACCTTGCCTCAAGATAATGTTGGTGCTGATCTACATGTTCTAGTCGAAATTCCACCAATATGACCTGAACTAAAGACGATGGAAACAAAAATATGCGGGTTAGCCTCAAATTGCCCTGTTTCAATCCATGAGTACTGTAAACTTATTTTAAACATTATGCAAGCATATTTTCTTCGAAAAAAATTGTTAATTTGATTCTGAAAATTATATTAAAAATTGTGTCTTTTCTCCCATTAGCAACAAATACTTAAATTACTTCTCATGTTGTTCTCTCTGAGTGATGAAGTCTTGTCTAAGAACTTTCATGCCACTAGAAAACTCACCGATGTCACAGCTATCATTCATTAACCTGCTGCTGCTCTTCAATACTGTAATGTCGACATATACTGCAAGCATCAAGTGCATTTATTGCATGAGAAACATAGAGAAATAATTCTTCCTTTTGCATAGTGACAGATGCTAGGCTAATATATAAAGTGCTCTATTCCCACCTTTTGGAAAATATTGATACTATGATAACCACCAAGTGGCAATAACTGGATCTGTATGTATCACAGCTGTTCAAGTGTGGCTGGCTTCATGATCACTGATGTAAAGAATTATTGCATAACAAGTAAATTTAATAAATTGTTCTCTCTGCCATTGGTGGCTCCACTATCGCTTGCTGTTGCTGTAGGCATGACAGAATCAAGATGCCTATACCAGAGGGACCAGAATGCATGAAAAAGATGCCGTGAAAAACCACAACGATGCTTTGAAGTAAATCTTGTCATGTGTTGCAAGTTACAAGAAAGTTTCTCATATATTATAGAAACTTCGAAGTAGCACTGCAATAACATTATTAATATTAATGAACATTGCAGCTAAATCCCTCATAGGTTTCCTAAATACTGCAGGAATATCGAGGCAGCGCCGAGAAAATGTTGCTGAATATAGCAATAAAGCTGATCAAAGCTTGCAATACCATTACTGAAACATAAAACCAGCATTGCAGAAATCTTGCAATAACACTGCTGTATGGCACAATACAATTACTCAAAAGTTGCCTAAATGTTATAGGAACTTCAAAGTAGCATCGCAAAAACAATGGATCAAGATTGCTGCATGTTGCAGCTAAGTTACTTAAAGGCTGTCTGAATGTAAAAACTTTTGAACAGCATGAAAAAATGTTTCAGCAACGTTGTGAATGTTGCTTTTGAATGTGATGGGATCCCTGTCAGATATATACGTAAGCCACATTTAGGCTTTAAGAAAGGGTACATTCAATATTGCACACCAATGCATTCTACTAAGAATGATAGTCACTACCTGGCAAAAGCAACAATGGAGGAATTTCAGGAATTGGTGCAACTTCGATGTGAAAAACTATACCAGTGATCCAATGTATATTGCTTCACTGGTGTTGATTTAAGTCACAGTGGAGAACACCGCGGAAGTGCCTTTTTTATCATGCTACGGCAATGACGCAACTGGTGTTAACAAAGTGCCTAAGTCATATGCCATTGCTTATGACAATGGCCATTAGCAGCATAACAAAATGGATGCACAGACAGAGGAGATAACCACTTTCTGCTTTTGCAGTAAAATTACTGTGATAGAACCTCTCATATCAGTTATAAGATATTAAATGATGTTGGCTTGTGAATTACAAAGCTAAAATGCATTTTAAAAAATCTTACCTGTTTCTTCTTCGTAGCACCTTATTGTTTCAGCTGATGGTTTCGTTTTCTCATGAATAGAAGGGAAGCCATGTTTGCCACGCAAGTAATCCTAGTAATGAATAAATATATAAACAACAGAAGAAAAACAGCCATGTGGGCTAGTTGGTAACAGTTCATTATGAATGCGTTCCATTTTTTACATTCCCAATAAACAGAAGATATAAAACTGACAACTACTACATGCCGAAACCTAATGCAGCTTATCTCCCCAATTAACTTAATTCCATGGGAATTGCTTTTTGACAAATTACAATAATATTTCATTTATTTGCTAATTTTATTGAGTTTTTACACCTGTGAGTTGGTATTAATGTTATTGCTTTTTCATAACATTTGAAGGATTCCGCGTAATTATGAGTAGAATAATGTCTTGTTTCCCATTGCATATGTGGGCAGCGACTGGCCTTGTGAATAATACCATGCGAAGGCTCATAGAATGGCTACTGTAACTGAGTAAATGGATTAAGTGCACCAAAGCCAACAGTGCTTGCATAAGCTTAACATGTCTGCTTGTCTACTTAAGTGGACGTCAGGCCAACCACCTTTATTATTATTTTTTTGCTTATGTTTAAGATGGTCAATCTACTACTGCTTTTATCTAACCTTAATATAAGATACATATCAAGGCTGCAATGGCCAGTACAGCAACACAACACATGCTTTAGTAGGAAAGATTTCAGTTACTGCAAGCGCATAGAATGCCCAATTATACGAGCACAGCAGCTGTATGAAACAAGGAGGATTGCTGGTGCTTGCCCTATACTATCATGGTGTGTGTGTGTGTGTGTGTGTGTGTGTGTGTGTGTGGTGTGTGTGTGTGTGTGCGTGTGTGTGTGCGTGTGTGTGCGCGTGTTTGTGTGTGCGTGTGTGTGTGCGTGTGTGTGCGTGTGTGTGTGGTGTGTGTGTGTGTGTATGTGTGTGTGTGTGTGTGCGTGCGTGCGTGCGTGCGTGTGTGTGTGTGTGTGCGCGCGCGCGCGCGCGCGTGAGTGATTACAGGAGAAGCTGTGGGTAAAGAATTGAGCCTGGAATAGAATAAGAAGTGTGGTGTAAAGCACACAGCTAGCAGTCCTAGCATCACACAAGTCAACAAGATAAAGACCTGGCAACCAATTCATCCACGGCTTATCATCAACGCAGTTTTCAAGACACCCTGACCATGCATGAACCACCAAAGCAAATCCAAGCTGCACACGCCCCTGCTATCAGGGGGGCCTATCATCCAGTGTACACCAGATCAGTGGACGATGCAGTAGTGAAGTCCTTATTCAACCTTTTCGAATTCCACGCCACTGCTGCATAATTGTTGCAATAGGCAATCGTTGCCTATTTCAACTACCACATCACCGTTGAGGCATTTTAATTTTATCTCACATACATCTTTTGAAATAATGAGTCATAAGGATGAAAGAAAAAAAAACGTTTTAAAGAATACTTGTCCATAAGCCATCAGCTGGTGGCCTATCAACTCACTCATCACAGTAGCAAGCACTCTGTGCAGTAAGCATATTTACCAAACATGCCTCATGCGAGGAAATTGTTGAAGATGGCCCAACCTTATAAATCTTCTGAAATATACAAAACACATTCGAATGCTGAGCATGAATTTACCATTCTCACATCCTCAATCTGCAAAGTAAAGGCTCTACAACCTGAAATGCATTTAAGTCATTTTGGCAAAAGACCCAGCCTTTAATCAGGTTCTCCTTCTGTATAAAATTTCTACTTTCCACCTCCTCACTACCCAACAGAATCCAAACTATTACTAAAGCCCTAGGTGTGCTTGACACCTCATGTCAAGTACACGGCCCACAACCTGGTTGGCATAAGCTGACATCAATATTAGTGATAAACCTGACAGCATGCCTCACAAGATCATTACACTCTGAATGAGTTGATTAATCCACACAATACCAGACAACGCCATAACTTTCCAGACAGAGTTGTTTTTAGAACAGAGGTTTTCAGCTCAACAGTTCTACAAGGAGTTCTACAAGGAGATAAAGATTGCAAATTGAATGTAGCTCAAGCCACATCTGCTGTGATATTATCGTCCAGTGTTCACCCAACCGAAAGTCAAAGTGTTGCACAGCCGGCGCACACACAGTGCGTGAACGACAGGCGAGACCAGCGCTGGGGACTGAAAACATTTATTCGTCGTGAACACTATTTAAAGCATAGGAAGGGAGAGGGAGTTGGGAAGAAAGAAAGAGCGGGGAAAGACATGACGCTCAGTTGTTGGCACGTCACGCGCCTGGCTCAGGCTGTGGTAGATAACATAGCAAGCCGATTACAACATTTCTCCTCCCTTAGAATTGAAAACGCTGTACATGTTTTCTTTCCTGGGTAGAGCGTCGCAAAACTTGCGGGGATTTCCGCGCATTCTGGATAGGCGGCGACGGTTGCGCAGGTGCCACCCGGTCTGCAGGCTGCTCGTTTTAACTTGCCTTCGTTGCCAGTCGGTGTGGCCGCCGCTGCAGCCGGAGGGCTCCCCTCGTCTTGGTCTCGCTGAGCGCCGCTCCGGGCAGATGCCGGGCTTGGCCTGGAACGCACTTGGTCTATGTGACGTGGAACCACCCCAGGGGGCGTTTGTATGGTGACCATGCGTGACCCTGTAGTGGACTGAACTTTCCCTGGTGTCCATTTCTCCCCCTGGCCGTAGTTACGGGTGTACACAGCTGTGTCGGGCGGCAGTGTCCACTCTTCCGTCTCCTGGGTTGACCCTGGGAAAGGTGGGAAACATGAGTCCAAGCGAGAGCGGATCAAGTAGCCGAAGAGAAGTTCGGAAGGGGATTTTCCCTCGTGGCACGGCGTTCTTCTGTAGTTGAAAAGAATTTTCACCAATTTCTTTTCTAATGTGCCTTCGCTTATCTTCTTTAAAGCTTCCTTGATCGTCCGAACAGCTCGTTCAGCGAGCCTGTTAGTTTGGGGGTGATACACAGCCGTACGGAGGTGTGTGATGTTATTGTTCTTCAAAAAAGTGGCGAGTTCTTCACTAGTGAACTGCGTGCCATTGTCCGTAACTATTGTGCGTGGAACACCAAATCTGGCAAAAATGCTGCGAAAGCTGGCAATAGTAGACGACGTGCTTGCCTGCCTCATGGGCACGGCTTCAATCCACTTAGTTGCAGTATCCACGACTACCAGTATCATGCTGCCTGCGATCGGCCCGGCGAAATCTGCGTGCAGCCTGGACCATTTTTCCTTAACTGCTGGCCAACTCACTGGTTGAGCAGAGGCTGGCATAGGAAGATTTTGCACGCAGTTGTGGCACGACGTTGAAAGGTGTTCTATCTCTCGGTCTAGTCCCGGCCACCAGAATGCCGATCTGGCGCCAGCCTTCATTGCCGATGACCCTTGATGCGTCTCATGCAGCATATATAGCACCCGTTCTCGTGCTTTTGTGGAAACAACAACTCGATGACCCCAGTATAACAACCCATGAGCTACGGATAGCTCTAACCGGCGGTCCGAGAATGGCACCAACTCTCTGTCTTTTACATGTTTCGGCCAGCCTTGCTTGGTGTACTCCACGACCCTCGCTAGTAAGAGGTCCCGCGCAGTTAGAGCTTGGAGTTCTTCGACAGACACAGTACCATCATCGAAACTTGCTAGAGCGGAAACATACTCTGGGGGTTCGCTTCTTGACGGTGGAACTGGAGTCTGCAGCGGTAGCCGGCTGAGGGTGTCAGCGTTTAGTAGCAGCTTACCGGGCGAATACTGAAGCTTGTAGCGAAATCCACCAAGGTAGAGAGCCCAGCGCTGTATTCGTGCTGTGGCCAACGCTGGCGTCGGCTTCTCCGCTGTCAGCAGGCCCAGTAGCGGCTGGTGATCTGTGACCAAGGTAAAATCTCTGTTGAGGAGATAGTCACGAAATTTCGACACCCCAAAAACAAGGGCCAAGGCCTCACGTTCTAGCTGGGAGTAATTCCGCTCAGCAGTGGTCAGCGTTCGCGAACGGAAGCCTATGGGCCGGTTCTCTTTTCCATCCGTATGAAACAACACGGCACCAATGCCATGCGGCGAAGCGTCGCACTCCAGCTTTAATGGCTTTTCAGGGTCGTAGTGAACGAGCACCCCTGCCGCAAGTAGGCACTGCTTTGCATTGGAAAAGGCTATTTGTTGAGCTTCTCCCCAGACCGAACGCGCATTTTTGCCAAGCAACTGGTACAAAGGTGCAAGCAAAGATGACATATTCGGCAGGAACTTGGAGTAATACGACAGCATGCCCAGAAATGAGCGTAGTTCTTGCACATTTGTCGGGCTAGGAGCCTGGGCGATTGCTTCCACATGTTTCTCAGTGGGGTGTAGACCGTTTTTGTCGATTTGGTGCCCTAAGTACGTGACTGAAGGCTGACTAAATTTGCATTTGTCTAGCCGGAGTTTTACACCGTGTTGACGGAAACGCTGCAGTACCGTTCGCAGGGTCTCGCTGCTTCCCCGTCGCTCCGCAACCAACACATAATCGAGATAAGCTTGCACGCCTGGTAGCCCCTGCAGGACTGTTTCGATTTTTTGCTGGAAGATGGCTGGGGCAGACGCTAGGCCAAAAGGCAGCCTCTTGAAGCAAAATAGCCCTCGATGTGTGTTAATTACGCATAGCTTCTGCGATTCTTCGTCAAGCGGTACTTGATTATACGCATCACGTAAGTCGAGAGTGCTGAAGTACTCTCCGCCGTCTAGGCATGCAAACATATCGTCAATCACCGGCAATGGGTACTGCTCCAGTTCGCTCGCATACAGGATTTAACGAGGTCTTGAAATCGAAGCAAATTCGAACTGTTCCATTTTTTTTTAAGACGGGCACAATAGGCGTAGCCCACTCCGCATGCGCTACCGGTGATAACACCCCAATTGCTACGAGTCTGTCAAGTTCTTGAGAAACCTCATCACGGAGAGCGAAAGGAATGGATCGTGCCTTACAGAACTTGGGTGTAGCTCCTTCCTTGAGTTTAAGGTGCACAGGGGGACCGCTGATACAGCCGAGTTCCGCGCTGAAAATGTCTTGAAACTCGTTGACGATGTCGTCCATGGCTGGGAGACTCGTTGGCG